AAGTTTCCAAGTAAATCTGGTTACTAGTGTTCATAGTGATAGCTGATTTTGGTAAATGATAGTTGTAATTAGTGACAACTGATAGAATACAACTGCAGGCTAATCATTTCATTGGCAGAAACATTTACATTTTGTGGAGGCCGTCGTCACTTGTGGTGTGTGGTCTGCACTCGACGCGCATCTGGTTTTCGGAAACAAAGGGTATGAGTCAAGGGAACGTCTTACCAAGTGGAAATGAGTGCCCATTCAGGAGCCCACCATCCATGAGGTGACGACAGAGCGGATAGCAGTGAAAAAGAGTGTGCCAGCTTATGAAAGCGATGAGAGTACGAGAGGTGTGTTGGTAAAAGGGCAGTGTACCTGAAAAGCTAATGGATATGGAGATTTTGGAACGGCGTCGAAGGTTGACCGACCCGGTGAGGGCGAACGAATTGTTATCGAAGAGTGGAGTGTCATTATAAGAGGTGAAAATGTACGAAGTCGAGTTGCGTAGGCAGTAATCCAAGAATATGTTGCTGAACAGTTGATGAGACATGTTACAGCAGATGAATCTGGAACGGAAAGAGCTCTGAAGGTGGATTGTTTATTGTTTATTTATAAGGTTGTGCCTAAGGTAAACGCAAGATTCACGAAGTTCTACAACTCACAACCGTAATTATCGAAGGTTTAATAGAAAGTTAAGTCACTAAAAATTGAACAATTCTTTCCTACTTAGGCGCTTGAAAGCCGGAAGGTAGAAATGCTTTCTTCGATTCATTTCGTAGGGATAAACTTCAAACCGTACCCTTCAAAGCACTGGTAACTGGCACTCCAGCCGATGAACTTCTCTGGCCAATATGCTTCAGAATGATTGACAAATGGAAGTGCCCGAAACGAAGAGAGGGTACTGGCCAGTGAGTGGACGTCTTGTGGCGTTGACAAGGAGAACGCTGGGTCAGATCTGAAAATAAGTCATACAGAAAGGAGGAGAATTCGAACTTCTGGCTGCAGTTTGAAGGCTTTCAATTTGTGATGTATGATCGCAGTGTAGCTATGCCCATCTACTTGTTCGCTATAATTACGGTTACAAATCAAATACAGGTATCGATTGTCACAGGGTGGATCCCGGTCCGGGTAGGGCATGGCAGCGTTGTGAAGTTAGCTAGGCGGGTCAATTTACGATTTTTCAGACGTTTTTCTTGAAATTACTGTGCAAAGAAGAAGCTATAGAGCATTCCGGGCTAGTCAAACCCTTCCTGGGACATACCGCGCATTTTTTAAGGATCTTGGTTGGGGCGCTATGGCAAGATACGGGGGCATTGTAGTGGCAACTCATTCAAAACCACGTAAAACTTCTTTTTGTAATAGAACTAACAATAAGTCTTAAGCGAGGGATGAGAGAATCCATGTCCTCAACCGCCTAGGTGGAGCAATTTTTATTTTCCAGAGGTTGCTGCCCCTCCTAGGCTTAGGTCTAGACAATGCTCCCGTACCCTGCGTATCTTGCGATAGGCCGTAGTGGTATTGAATGCGACTCGAGGAGCCTGGTTATGTATAAGTTTTTGCTTGTTTTCCCAAACGTTTTGTACCAGCCTAGCGATCAGTTAGTCACTTGAACAAGGTCTGGCTAAGACTGATCCAACGCATAATTTGATCCCCCGACCTGTAGCTTGTGTTAAGTACGACTTAGCAAGCAATCTCGATCCTTTCTTTCAAAGGTAAATGGTGGAATTCACAACTACAGTCGTGAAATTACTATTGTTACTTTTCACGCTCGATTTTTACACTTTGATCACAAGCTAACAAAAACCACTAACCCTTTGGCATGAACGTCAGTTGTTAAGTATCTCACTTAAACTGAACTCACGATGAAAAGCAACCATTAGGATATGAGTGGAACGAAAGAAGCCAAAAAACCAATATAAAACGCTAAAAACCGAGAAATGGACCTGCTTGTCCGTTGATTGAGCATTTTGAGCGAGCTCATCTTGTACCTCTCATGCTTAATGCTCTCTCTATGCTATCTAATGATCCGCTATGGACGTGCAGGTGGTGATTAATGGTCAGTGCGACCCTAGCCGACCCAGCAACAATGAGCCATGCTTAGATATCGAGGTTAAAATCTTTCGGGGCAATTGTACGCCAGTCCGCACCTCAGAGTTCGGCGACTCTCAACTAGGGATTTACTCATCCTCGACCTCATCTAATCGTATGACCCCCTTCAAACACTGACGACAGCGCGCATGCGGCTGGCGGGACGTGGGCGGTTTGGCGAGTGACACGCAACCGCGCCACATCTCCCATGCGGGCCATAAAATGGGACGCGCAACCGCGTCACTCTGTCGTCAATTTGTTAATATAAATGGTGACATCGTTTAAAATAAAGTTAAAGCCCGAATAATAGTGCAGGAAAATTGTGCATTGAAATGGCTCCACGGCTCAAAACTGGGGCCAAGTTCGAGGCGCACATTTCAGAGAATGGTTAGAACACCGAAGCGTCCATATCCCTTTTTGGATGGTTCACTTCTATCCATATTTGATGAAAAGTTTAACAAATCACTCTAAAGGAGTCACAGCATCTGGCTGGAACATAGCCGTCGAGTTCACTGTCTTTACACCCCAGACGACTCGTGCATACAGTGGAATTGCAATCTTCTCTTCGACGAATTCGAACGTTTTTTCGGCGTTATTGTCGTACCTGCCATTGAATTGCTGTTCAGAGGAACTAAAGCATTGAGAAAAACAGAAATGAACCTAACGTACCACTCATGAGGATTTGAAGCAATGAAGAGCTGGAGTGGATTGTACTCCGGTAAGTGCAGATCTCTGACCGCGACACCGCGAAACACAACGACAGAGCGACAAGCCCGTCAACACAGTATGTCCATGAAAAGGAACATTCCAATGTATAATCATACATCAAGAACGCTCCTCACATTTTAACATTCTTCCACCCAATCATTCCAGCGACATTCCAAATTAGAGCAAAATTTATACGCTCACTGAATTCAAACGAATTCCAAGTCATCGAAATAACTTTGTAAGAGCCTTCGACGACATTCAGGCTGGAACGATTACTTCATTGGCTCCTTAAAGGAATCCTTCGCGGAAAATTCTTGCATTCTTTCTTGACATGAATGTGTCAGTTGTGATCACTGGAAACAGCACACAAAGTTTCACGCATGAAGATTCGGTTTCCGAAGAGAAACAAACGTACAAAAACTACACTCCATGGACAATCGAAGGTAATTCGCGGAACCAAAGGCGAGGCATGGAAAGAAGTTGGCCTCTGGCCGGCTACGTATCAGGCCGACGACAAGTGAAGAATCGGTGTTAAAATTCGAGAGTAGAAAAAAATTGCCTCGATGAGTAATAGTATGCAGTAGACGAGTGAGACGTAATGCAAGTAAAGCAAGCAAGGCCAGAAAAGGGTCTTGTGACCGCTAAAAGAACCAAAGGAAGCATCCCTCCTAATCGTAAAACGTCGTGACCTTTGAACGGTATCAGCCTTTCGAATTTCGATTTTTTTCCAAAACAAAAGCAATATTCGTGTTTTCATCTTAATGGTCTCAAACAGGGAATATGGTACTGAATAGAATCATGACGTTCCCCGTGAAGAATTCCTTAAAGCAACAGTCCCAACAGGATGGTACCGTGGCCGAAACGACTTCACTCGGCTGATCGACCACTGCCCATAGCTATATCCCCTAGATACTAGCACCTTTCCGATATTGAGTTTTTCGTACACTTCAATTCTGGACCTATGACGAAACAGTCCGAGACGGAAATCAGCAGACGGATTGCAGCTTTCGACACGCCACCCATCTGGACTAGTTTCCTTCAAGCTCGACGGTGATGGCAGGTGACGTCATAATCTGAAGACGGTGGAGGCAGTGAAGAGGGACCTGCTTGTGCTTATGATGCGACATCTATGTAATATTTCGCCGCAAAACTTCCATCAACGGCAGCACCCTGTGCGACGAAGGTTTGATGACATGCGTCATGGATAGAAGTGACTTTTTTCCCTCTCCCCTATATATGTGTTGTCAGGAAAATAATTGCAGTTCTGCATCTACGGCACCGAACCATAACCTTAGCTCAAACCAGCTCCTTCTAGCCAAAATGCACCTGGGAGAACAGAAAGAAATTAGGGAGGGACTGGAAGTATTATTTTTACTCCTCTCCGCATTCTGTACCCTGCTGTATCAGCCGCGCATCAAAAAGATTATTAGAAGAATATAGGGTTTGATAGATAATTTTATAGAGCCCCACCAAACAGATAGGACCGGTTAAGGTTCTCGAGTGAATTTGAGGTACAAGCAAATTACCAGAAATCGTCCTAACCTGCCCTTTTTTGATGGCTAACATTCCAAAACACTAATGCGAGCTTACTGATGCCCATTGCCCTTCCACTACTCTGCCCGTCCCTGCGCTGCAAAACGGACCAAGTTTGGGGAGGGCGCCAGCCTTTGGGGGAGTGCAAAGAAATGCTGCTGCACAAAATGCAAGCCCTACAGTTCCCAATACCCGAGATGACAAAAAGTTCCCTATCACCGACAGATCAGTAATCAGTAATCATCAAAATGCTTCTGAAGCTTCTCCGGATGAGAGGACACTCCTCACGAAAAGAAGGATCAACACAGATCAACACAGGTGAGAGATGGCTTAATTACTGACCGTCACAGCTTTCAGAAGCTGTGGCTTTGATGATCAAGTGATTCATTCGTCTTTCTCGAATGGCACCTCATAAAGATGGGTTACTGACGCTTTGACTTAATAAATTAAGAGCCTTGAACAAAATTTCAGTCCTTGTCACATATGGGTGAGAACTATTCGTAGAGCAATCGTGAATCCGTCTGCAGTACGAAGCATTTTCCACGTGAATGGCTGTGCATCCATGCGGACAGAGAATCGAAGGCGAAACGATACCAGTTTTGTACACACGAATAGTAGTTACTCATAGCTCTATCTATCTAGTTTCAATCCAATTAAATAGAAACCTGTACCATAAAGATTCCGAAAGCTACGTACGATACTATCAAGAGGAGGTGAAACTTCAGCATTGATAAAGACATTGCCATAAGTTGCAGCAGCGCCTTGCAAAACATGATATGAATCATATTCGCGCTTTGCTGCCTTATAAAGACTTAGACTAAACTAAAGAAAAATCATAGTGGTGAAAATGTAGTTCGGGGGGGGGGCACCCTATCTAATCGAAGTGAAGCTGCGGAAAGACACTCATATCTAATCAAAGTAGAGTTGCGGGAAGGCACTTATATCTTATCATATCTTTCACTGAGACCGTGGCCACTGGACTAGTACGCTTACCCTTGTCATATGGTCTATGGCTAAAATGGCTGCTACCCTTGCTGGCTCCTTCATCAAACCTTCTTGCGACTGCCATGCAAGCCCTCGAAGAAAGGGCCTCCCAGGTATCCGATTTTGTATGGCACGGATTGGTATCCCTATCTAATCATACACTCAGAGACTGTGCTCTGGATGGTGATTAGATATGACCGCGTATAACGGTTCGTTTAGATATTGCCTGTTCG